AGTCTTGGCATTTTTTCTCAGCCTTGGGCTTGTTCTGTCATGTTCCGCAGGGGATTTGTTTCGTTATGTCCCGGTGCGATATCACTCTTTTGACCTGGATATATAGCTCCGCCGTGCAAAGGCTAAAACCATTATGTCGGGTCAGAGGCCATTACCTCAGGTCAGAGGTCACCCGAACATAATGGGTTTTGCCTTTATACGGCAGAGCTGGTGACTACACCCCACTCGTGCCCCGTGGCCAGGTCACATCGGCCGCACGTTCCGCGGCGAGCGCGCCCGGGACGGCGAGGCGGCAGTGCTGGGCGCCGCGCCGGAGCCGGAGCCGGAGCGTATCGGCGGGGTGGCCGCCGACGACCCGCGCTTCCCGACCGGCCGCTGGGTGTACGACACGCCCGGCTTCGTCGGCGCCGACCAGCTGCTGGGCCAGCTGACGCAGCAGGAGCTGCTGCTGACGCTGGGCCGGCAGCTGCTGCGGCCGCGCACCTTCTCACTGGCGCCCGGACAGACTCTGTTTGTGGCCGGCCTGGCGCGCCTCGACTACCGCGCCGGACCCAGCAACGCCAGGTCCGTCCGAACGGGGAGGGGGGAGCAGGGAGCAGCTGCTGTGGGGTGGGGGTGACACAATCAGGGCGCGCTTTATCTTATTAACATGCGAGCTCTGCGTAAGATTTAGCTCTGAGAGCTAAATCTCTCACATTCGCGTCCACAATATTCGAAAGTAGCCTGAGAAGCTAACAGACCCTTTTCTCACTTCTTCGGCACCAGCTAAATCTCTACTTTTAACACATCTCCCTCGCGTGTCCCTCAGGCTGACGGTGTTCGCCTCGTGCGACCTGCCGGTGACGGTGACGGCCACAGAGGACGCTGCTGCCATCTATCGGGATTACCTGCAGTCGGGGTTGTTCGTGGTGCCGTGCGGCGGCGCTGACCGCTTCTCGCGCTGGCCGGAGCTGGTGTCGCGGGAGCTGACCGTCACAGGAGGTTCTCTGACAGAGAGCGCTGCCGACATCGTCCTCTCCTCGGCCGGTGGGTGCTGGGTGGCTCGACCGGGTGGATAGTCTGGTGGGAGGATCGAGATACGTCGGGGTGCGTCGGAGTACAACGATCTCAATATAACACCTCATCACGTTCTGTATTGACATCTCGCATCTTAAAACGGTGCTGTTACGTACCTAATACCTATGTTTGATTGTTGAAACGGCGAGACGCATTCAAGTTAACAATTCAATCAGTTAGCCATTCTTGAATCTGGAAATCTTGAGCGAAACCATGGTTTTTGATCTCTTGAACAAACGACACCAGATCCCGGGGTGGACGAGGACATGCAGGAGGGCCATTAGTGCTCCTGTTTCCACTAAACTTTTAGTTTTTTCTCAGACAGTTGCTGCGACCGACAAATTGAAGCTCCATATGTAACGGTTTGTTGTCCGATTCATGTGTCTCCAGGATGGGTGGCGGTCACTCCGGCTGAGGATCGCTCTGGCGGCAATCTTAAGGAGCTGAAGTTCACCGCGCACACGCCAGGCGGCGCTGGTGTGTTCGTTCGCTCGCCGCCCGTGCTGCCGTACGCGGTACGGCTGCGGGGTCGCCGGCAGCGCGATTCGCCGGCGCACCGGGTCGGCGAGCTGTACCAGCTAAGGGAGGCGCGGCGGTGACGAACGCGTCATCGGACCGTCATTAGACCGTCATCGAACAGTCATCCGTCAGCCGTCAGCTGGTACAGGGAAGTCAAAACTCGGCGGAAATGGTGATCCCGGCTATCGGTTTCGTGGTTGGGGCCCAGTTACGCAAAGCCTATTGAGACTGCTTTAATGCTTTGTGAGCGTTGTTTGTGTGTGGAAAACCACCACCGATGATTGTTATCAATCTTCCTGTGTCCGATATCGCAGAAGGAAACAACAAAGTTGAATGGCTGTTGTGAAAGTGTGAGTTCATACTTCCATGAGCTGGTGCTCTGGGTCCCTAGAAGCCGCCAGTTGTTTTTATACAGGTGTCATACGTATTGTTTCTCATTCGATGATGTTCATTCATCTAGTCTAGTCCTCATATTTGCCTCAAGCGGGCGCACATTAGTCGACATCGTGTGATACTCGGAATAGAAATGCCATGCGGTTTTACGACGCGAGTTGAGTGTTTGTTTTGGAGGGCTTCCGACAGCTAGTGGCGGCGTATCTCGGTAAGCTGATGTTTTGGAGCGATATTGGAAGCGACGAGGCGCTCACTTTCCGTTCTGGAAACGACGGATTTAACCTCAGCGCCGCCCGGTCATCTGTCACGATTCATCAATCATGAGCACACCTGTGCAAAAATGCGTCTCTAAAAATATGTGTCGTTAGTTGCTTCTGTTGAGACTTGAGAATCATTTCTGCTCGGAGGAGTGGGCTTAGTTCGACCAATCATATCCCAATGAGCACATATTCCGTGTCTCTGAGATTAGATTCAGTCGATTCATAAGTGGCTAATAAGTCTGCGGTGGTTGACGGCGGTGGTCTGTCAGTCACGACAGGCTGGTCCTGTGACGTCAGCGGACCCCATGAACTCGCTGTGTCGTGATTGGCTCGGCGCCACCGGCCGGAAAGGCGCCCCGAAAATCACTTAGCGCCGGGTGCGTTCGCGGAAAATCCACCCCTGCGGTCAAAAATGGCGTGAGGGTGACGTGATGGCTCCGTCCCATATGTCCCCCCCCCCCCTCCGGATTTGAGAGGTACATACGGGTGATTGCGGTTTGCTGGCGGAGCTGCATCATTGGCCGTCTAACCAGCTGTAAAAGCTGACGTCAGCTTTTCATAACTGCTGAGAGACGAGGGTTTCGCTATCGCATTCCAGCAGATTTGATCAATGATGGTTACGCTGGTGCTCATATGTTGAAACGGAAATCCTTCAATACAATGCTGAATTGAATCATATTTGTATGTGACATGCGTCGGCTCGTACGAATGTATCTACTCTATAGCCACATTGTACGTTTCTCGAAATGTTGCTATAACTTTGTCACATAAGTCGCCAATGGGTCATTAGAAAGCGTAATTGAATTACCGCTACATTAGCCATTTACCTCAACGTCTGCGTATCATCTTTCAATCGACAGCTTTTCACAAACACCCGGTGTATGTGACGAGCATTGTCCGTCAGTCGTTGATGGGTGTTGAGTATTCTGAGACGCGAGGCGAGACACCCGCCACCCATCATCTGCCAGTGCTGTGCTTGCCATGCCTCACGGGCACCACAACGAAATACTGCAGTTAAGGCCCTGAACTATAAGTACCTGCAAGTCTCAAACAGTCAAACACCACGTGGTGCAACTCGGTGACCTTTGTTTCGCTAAAATGACTCATGACTTCAGCTGTCGCACTATGCTCCAGGTTGTTACTCAGCGATCTTTGTTTCACAAAAATGACTTATGATTTAAGTTGAGATAACATGTCGTCACTATGCTCCTGCTTATTGTACTCGCATGCGATATATGAGCGTCATTCAGTGTCGGTGCATCCGGACCCCAGTCCCCACCAGACACTCGAGTTAAGCTCAGTCGAGTGTTTTCGGCACCGCGCCAAGTACCTACATACCTCTGTCTGATAGCTTTGTCGCCGGCTATAGGCTGTTGGTTGGTAGCGGCCGGGACATTCCGGTAGTTGTGGGTAGCTCCCCCCTTGTCTGCCTGTCTAACGGGAGAGTCGAGCTTCCCCGGAGTTCCCATTAAATGACACCCTGGGCCCGTCTCCTTACCATCACACAGGTCTATCGGCACCATTCACCTGGCCATGGCCTCGCCTGTACGCTGAATCCAGGTCTATGAGCATCAGGCCGCCGCGGCCGAGCAGCCAGCCGGGCTGCGGCCGCTCCTCCGAGCCAGCGACAGCCTATTCCTGGCCGGGCCGACCGGTCGCGCCACTGGGCTGATCAATACAGCACATATACACACACATACACGGCCGGCCGACCGCACAGCAGTGCCTCCGGAGCCTGCGCCCCGCCCTCTGCCTGCCGAAACTCGGCAGTCGCAGTACCCCGTTGAGAATGCATGACGTCCGCGGAGGGGCCCACAGGGGCCCGTCCTGCACCGCTGGATGCAACAGTGACTGCCAGCGGGGTTCACGGCCAACTGACGAGCGTGGAAAACTGGGGCGAGTCACCAGACTCGGCGAAGGGCACGCTCACTCGAGTGGAACTCCGGGGGCCCCGGTGCGGCTGGCTGCTCGGTCCCGAGTCCCAACCCAAGGAATGTTTTGGCCGGGTACCGTAGGTTGAGATTTTAGCATTGATGTTCTAAAGAATCTGAATAAAAAACCTGTCACCGTTACGAGTTACAGCTCCCGAGCAACGATCGAGCCAGAGTATCAGGAAGAAGCATCGATAAATAGTAGGTAGTAGTCTCTAGTTTTTGTCCCTGATTTCACAACTGCCTATCAAGTGATCAACAGGCAGGGGCGCGGGAACTACGTTCAGACTGGGGGGGGGGGGGGGGGCACACCATAATAGAGATCAACCTAGGGTACCCCCAAATCTAGTTTTCTCACCGGTTTTAGGCCACTTATTTTTCATTCCTTGGCTTTCTCAGCAAAAAAGAAAACATTTGCAAAAAAAGTGTGGTATTCCGTCTCAAAGCTGTGGGGCATCGCCCCCACGGCCCCAGAGTTGGGGGAGGGGGGCAAGCTGCCCCCACTGCCCCCCGGCTCCCGCGCCTATGTCAACAGGCGCTACCACAGTGCATCAATCATCAACACAATCCATTGGTCTTGGATTTCGGAATCATCACAAATTTGAAATCGGCCTCCTTCAAGCAAAAAAGTAGCTCATATTAGGCAGGTACTATCCACTAGTGCAGAGATCAACGGTATGTAGGTACCTACAGGCTACATGTATAGCCTAGCCTTTTGTTTTCGGAAGTGTTTACTGTGATTTGACCCGACTATGAGACATCGATAAAATATAAGAAATCGATTTGCAGCAAATTAGGTCGCTTCATGACCTTGAGAACTTCCGTCAACAAAGTGCGAGATGCGGCGAGCGGGAGTAGGTAAGTCTGAAACGCTCAGTAATGATTCTTGGATAATATCCGATTTAAGAACACTCAAGTCGAGTTGATACTTGATTAGCTAACCAGCTATTTCGCCGTTGTAATATCGTGTTGTGCGTCGTGAACTCGTGAGCTACATATAAATATTCGGTCATAATTATGCGCGTCACAACCGTCGCAACTGAAACCGAGTTGAGATTGGGAGGATTGGGATATGGGACGCCGGATGGGCTCAGGTTGTGATAGAAAATATGCTTTGGTGCCAACTGCCAGGGAATCTGCGCCTATTCCGATTTTATCAACCTTCAACATGCCTATTTTCCTGTCTATAAATGATAACCCCTTTTTATCACGGTGACTTTACTTTTTATCTGAATTTTGCAAGAGAACCACTAAGAGAACGCACTTTTGACCTCTCGTAGCGCTGTGTCGATGTGGAAGCGGCCGATAGAACTTCTCGGTTTCCCCAAAGTACCCACCGCTGCACTAACGGTCATGCTTATCCATCGCCAGGTCGAGGTGGGTGACAAGATTCTTATATGGCACGTTGATTTACCAATGTTGATACATTGGTCTTTTGATTAGTCAGGCGACATCTGACATACGAGACATAGCGATCGCAGCTCTTCTTTCATCTTCTTTCATTCTGACAGCTACACGGCATGGCATGGGGCATGAGGCGGGAGGCCGCTTGGCGCTTATGACCATTCCATGTAGGTCACAGGCGATTTTTCTCGTACGGGTTGAAAGCATGGGGCATGGTTGAGTTGATCGTCCCCTCGATAAGGAGCACAAGTCCCTACTGTGGACTTCTTCCTTCATCAGAACGGAGGTCAAACACCATGGAAAATGCAACATTTGAAACTTCTCGCATGAAACATGAAAACATGCAAACTTCGCTTTGGCATTTGAGCTTTGTGTTTCAGTTGTCATGGCCCAAATGACCTCTAATCAGCCGACCTGGCACCTCCACTTCCACTTCTCTTTTTCGAGTTGTCGACTGAAAGGGCGTCTGGTCGTGCGCACAACATTGCATGGACGTGTGAAATACGCATCAGCTTAAAAATCCGCAGCTCAAAAAGTGTCAGCGATGATATTACCATCTATACACGACCACATATATGTGGTCGTACGATCGTACATTTCTTCCTCAGTCACCGGCCCGGTCCGAAACAGTTTTTATATACCTTGGTCCGAAACAAGCTATCGCGCCGGCCGGCGGCTCTGCGACTCGCTCTGTCTCCAACTGTGGGCTTCACAGACTCTTATTTTAGCGCCCTTCTGAAACACTTTTTTAACACGACGGAGGTCACAGCCAGGGATGCAAATTGAGTGTTTTTGACCGTGTCCGTAAGTTGTGATGAAGATTTTCACCCACTTGTCTGTGTGCCGCAGATATTTTCCACTGTCGGTTTAGTTCGTGCCAACGCTCGGTAACTGCGCAGCGCTGCCGGGCCGGCTCGGCACGGCCGGCTAGCCGGAGGCGGTGCCGCCGATCGAGCGAGCGGGCGAGCGCCGGGCAGCAACCGGCCGCGGCGCCGCGGCGCTCCCAGTCGGGATTACATCGTTGGCGGAGGGGGTGCGTAGCGCGGAGACCTGGGGTCTCACTGTCCACCAGCCGACAGCGCGCGCGCCTTCTCCGGGACTGGGCACTGACACCTGCCGCTGCTAGAGACACCGGCGTCCCACTCAGGCTGTGATACCACCAGACGCGTGTCCAACGTCTCCGTGGGCTGCCCAACAGCAAACAATGGCTTCGGGTGAGTGCACTGTCTGGCTGCCGACCGGCACCTTCAGAGTTTTCTTGAAATGCACTAACCTACTGTTTTGCGGTTTACGTCATGTACGCGTGCTTTCGCTGTGATTGAGGGTTTCCTTTGTTTACGTTTTGGCGGCTGTCTAGCATCCCAGTGATGTTTATTTACATCGTCAGGCAATCTTTGGCCTCAGAGTCAGACCACCTGATCCTTACCCTGACCCTCGGGCCCAGGCAGAGGGTCCACTTTAAACCGTTAAAGCTGATGTCAATATTGAGTGTGTCCGCTGCCTCTGACAAGATTCGGAAGGCCGCCTGCCGCCCACCGGCTCCGTCAGCCGAGGGCATGGCATTGCTCAATGCTCATGGCTGATCATCGGCCCGATGAACGGGAATGAATGGTAGCCATCCGTGCCAGGACTACATTCAGCTTCCATCGGACATCTGAAGCCCCTGTCGCATACCAGAGGGACTGGAAGTTTCGAGACACGGCGTCGCGGCGGGCATCGATTGCCGGCCGCGGCCGGCGGCGTCCCCACTTCCTTTGTTTACTGGGGCGGCCGGCGGCGTCCCGTGCCGAGCGCTGCCGGGCCCTGGGGGATGTGGTACGGTGCTGTACAGGGTGTCTCATAAGTTCGTTCTCACATTATATTTGCATGTGAAACAGAGTACATTGCGTCTTGATATATTTGTGACCCCTCAATGTGCTCCCCATTTAATAGGCAAACACGTGAACACATGCTGCGGCATGCCAACCGGCATGTTTGGCTGCATAGCAGGCTTACAGTTAATCCAGACTGACTTGACATGCGTCGTGAGCTCCTCGAGGCTGGAAGAGCGCTACGCTTCGACGAGCCTAATTTTCAGCATAACCAACAAATTTTTATGAAATTTTGATCCGATGAGGTGCCTGGCATGTGGTCTTGCCACAAACGCCTGTCACAGTCTCCTTGCACCGCTTTTAAGCTTTGCTTGACCTGTGCACTGATGCACTGTCTTGCCTGAAGATGGGCCTACGACCTCTCTGATGCCATTTTCTCCTCTATAAATGTGTTCATACTCGCGGTTCGAGTTAAGCTTGAGTGTTGAAACTCCTCCTAGATGTTCTTGGAAAAGCATTATGCTTCCCAAAACTGTTTCTGGGACACCATTCGCAACCTGGTCAGCGTCTGGACGCCTATAACCCCACAATACCGTGACCTTGGCCTTTCGCATAGGAACATAACGGGACGAAACGGAGGCCTTCTCCTTCGCCCTTATGGGGTTGTTTTCGGGTTTGGACGGGTGTTTCATCTCGAACGTGGACTAGTTAGTCCAGATGACCTGGTTGATGTCCTCAGCCCTTTATTTTTTTTAGCCTCAGGCATAACGGAACTCATGTTTGGCCATTTTAAGACGTTTTTGACTGTTTTGAGCCCTCCGGTAAGCAGAGCTTAAGTCACCTTGAGTTATGTACCCCGAAAGAACACTCTTAGACAGCTGGTAATCCATCCTGAAAAGTCTGTTTACCAACTTTCTAACCCTTTGACCTTTTTTGATGGCCACTTTGGCGCCACACAGTTTTGGCCACATGGCTCACTCCTGAGAGCTGACAAAAAAGAGGATAAACTTGCAATGATTGACTCCCGACAAATCATCGGTGTCACTTGCTGACTGTGCGTCCAGTTAGCGATGGACATTGTCTACAGACTGGTAGGCCTCAATCATCCTCAATCGTCGCGAATGGTCACGTGCTGACTAAATACCGAGACGTACCCGTATTGGAGACCTCTATGTTGCGGCGTCAGCCGTCTGTGTAGGAAACGGGCTCTCTAGCAAAAACTATTTTGTCTACAGAAATTAGTTAATGTGGAGCATATTTCTACCAGCCATGGCAACCACGTAAGCCCAGTAACGAACCAATTTCAGCGTGCCTTTAAGCAAGAGAGCCTAAAAACGTAAAATTTAGGTGAGAACGAACTTATGGGACACCCTGGGCTGTATGTATGTGACTGTGGACATGGGGGGGCTAGCTGATGTGGCATCTGTTCCTCGCACGGCAACGTTTCCTTAGTTTGGTTTGACACATTTGACGCTGGAGTCTGTCATCTGATCTGAGACTGGATGATATCGTGTAGCTGAGTGGTTCTGGACTGACAGGCAGGCGGCCGGTCGTGCTTTCAGGCCTGCGCTGCACTCCGATTCCGTATTTATCACTGGGAGCCGGCCGGCACGGAGCGGCGCCGCCGGTCACACGGCCGTCACGCCCATTGTTTTCCTCTATTGTTGTGGCCGACTGGGCGGCACCGGACCGCGGCCGGCGGGGTCACCTTGATGGTATCGGGTGGCGCGGCGGCGGTGGCATCGGATGGCGCCGCGCCGCGATATGCCGTGATCTCGGCCGGGTGCGTGTCAGCGGTGTGCCGGCGGATGGTGACCCGGGCCGGAAGGTTCATTGTTGTGGCCGCGGGCCGACCCATAGCGAGCCGCGGGCCGACCCCTAGCTGTCGGTGTGTGGGCCGACCCCGGTTGCCGGGTGCGGTCCGCCGCCGCAGCCGTGACAACTGATCGCCAACGGGAAACCGGCCGGTGTAATTTTAGGACCAGTCAGTGGCGTGTCAAAGGGGTAGTGTCAGGGGCGGAGTCTGGTTATACTTAATGCCACCGACACCGCCGGATCGCTGTGCCCTCGCCGCCGGTTAATCCGGTCATTTGGTCCATAATCACCTCACCACTCCGTCCCGCTCGCCGCTGGGTCCGCCGCTGGTCTTGGCTGGCGGCGCTACCGGTGGGGCTGTGGGGGTGGGCAGGCGGGCTGGCCCACTTGGCGGCTGGGGTCGCCGCCCGCCCGCCCGGCGGCCGCACCCTACCTCTGTGCCGGCGCGCCGTCGACCCCTGCTGACACGGGACCGTCGGCCGCCTTTGTCGGCGGTGGCCGCATCCACCCCACTCCTTCCGGCTCCGTCCCTCAGCCCGGCCCCGGAACCCAGGTCAGGGGATTGAGGAGACTTGTCAGTTGTCTGGCAGGATGGAATGCTATTCAAATAAATATATTTAATTCCACTCCATTCCCTTTTGTCTCAGATACATTGGTTGTTTCTTAACTCATCTTGTCGCTATTTAAATGCAGGCGTCTCAAACTGTATCACCAAGTCTGATGCCTTGACGTCCCGTTATAAACACACGAAAGTTGCCCTTTGTACGGGGAGAGAGCGCTGTTTCCAGGCAGTCGCTGCAGCCGGTCGTCTGTGCACATTGAATACCGCTCGTGCCCAGTGGTCTGCAATGAATGGATGCGCCGGGGACGGGCGGCGGTCACCGGACTGGTGGCACACCCCGCGCCTCTGTGCCAACGGGTACCCTGAGTCACCAGTACTGGTTTCGCCAGGCCGCATTGGGAGAAAGCTCGTTACGTAGAAGGTGCTGTTATTTTCCATTTCCCAGACAATTGCCGGGTCCCGGAACGTATGTTCATTACGCGATGAGTAACTTCACGGCGCCGGCCGTTGACCCGTGCCGTGCGCTGGTGCCGGGGCTTGCGTACTCGACCGTCACTGCACCGCAAGTGCCGCACTCTCCTGACAATCGCCGCCGCTGCGGCCGGGGCCGCGGAGCGGGCCCGGCGGCGCTACTCACGGGGCGTTATGAAACGGCGCCGCCTCCTTGTGATGGTGCCGTGTCGCAACGCTCGTGAAAGAACCGAGGGACGGTGGGCCGTCGACCCCGCGAGGACACGGCCCGGCCTCCGGGAGGAGAGAGAGGAGAGAGCGGAGCGGCGCTCCAGGACGGCCGCGCTGGAAGGACCCTCGGGTGTCTGAGCGTGCGCTCTGAGGGCCGGCTCTGCTCCTTTCTGATGATATCCTTTTCAGAGCGGATCCCACAGCTCTGACCAATTCGGTTTCAAGCATAGGTGTAACATTTTATTGTTGTGCCGTCTGAGTGCCATCAACGTCCTGTGGCCCTCCTCGTCCTCAGCCCCGAGTCGTCTCGGAGTGGGGCCGAGCAGCGGCCGATGTCTGGGTCATCCCAGTGACAGCCCTCAGCTCTGGCAGCGCGCCGGCACTCGGCCTGAGCGGCCGGCCGCCGCAGCCCTTTGTTCGCCGGGCTCCTCCGCGGCCGGCGCGCCTGGCGCCGCCGCTGCGCCGCCGCCGTCGGGCGTCGTTTGACGGTGCGTCGGCCTCGCTGGCGCTGGCCGCTCTCTCCGCCCGGCTCCTTTCCAGCGCCGGCGCCGCTCGTCGCGGGGTCACTGCATCCGGAGCGGCGCCGCGCCGTGAAAGCTGCCAGCAGAAGGCCGCGCGCGCGTACGGCCGCCGCCCGCCGCTCTCCCGCGGCGCGCTCGACGCTCACGTCACGAGCGACTACAGCGCGCATGGGTTGGTGACCGGTTTTATTCTGGGCGGCCCTGGACCAGCCGGCCGCTCGAGAAGGCTCTAGAGCCGGCGGCGCTGTCACTCGACGGACCGCCGAGCGGGCGTGACGTCACGGCGTGGTCAGCGAGCGGCGGAGAGCCCGCTGCTGAGGTGGCATTCATTGACCGAAAAATCGAGGGGATTGATGTCGCCTAGCCTGGTGTGGTGTTGGATAGAAGGGAGGCTGATTCTGGTCGGACTGTCTGTCTGTAGCTAGCTAAAAATCAGCACGCACGGTGTTGGCGGCTCAGTCGCTTGCTCTCTGCTGACGTCATTGGTTGTGAACAGGTAAAAGATAATCACTTGATCGTGTGGTCATGACTGGACTCGTGACGTGTATCTTCATAGTGATAAAATCGTGTGTAGGGTAAATGTAGTAAGGATTTTCTGGACGCCAAAGTTTCCTGGACAGAAATATCCTCTTATCGTGTTGGGGCGGCACTATTGTGTGTCTCAGTGAGTCAGTGAGTAATTTGGAACTGCTCGGGCGCCCTCGGAGGCTCCACCTTTGCTTTACGAGTATGGTGTCCTCCACTCTCCCCCTTTATGGGCTGGTTTCAGTAGCAGGCCTGTCGCCACTGAGTGGGTCGTTTACGAGAAACCGTCTGGCCCCGATGGAGGGTGGCCGGGCGCCTTTGTTGATCAACAGATCCCGGGGGCGGCGCCGGCCGAGGGACGCTCCCCTCCCCTCGACGACGCCGGGGAGCGGCACAAAGAACATTCCAGCTGTGTCGGGAGGCGGCGGCGACGCCGGGCTCTGGAGCGGCCGGCGGACCGGCGGACCAGCCGGGAGGGCCAGCTGCCGCCGCCGCCGCCGCCGCCGCCGCCGCAGCAGCCCGCTCCGGGCGAAGGCCAGACCGGCCGACTCAAGATGGCCGCCAGGCCGCTCCGGTCCGGCCGGCTGGGCCTTTTTCGGCGGCCGACCGGTTGTGCCGCGGTCATCGGTAGGAAAATCGCTCGGCTGCACTGGCGGTGCTACGGGCCGGCCGGTGGGGGCGGGGACGGCTGTCTGGCCCGCCGGTGCCGACGGACGGCCGACGGCGTCCCTCTGTCACCAGGCACCGGCGGACCGCAGTGCCGGCCCGCTGACCTCCTTCTGACCTCCCGGTGACCCGGCGGCCGGCTCCTGCTCGGCGAGGACCGGCCCAGGTCACCGCTGAGCTGCCCCGAGAACCAGTCTGCTACCGTGGGTCTGTGACCGGCTCCGGAGCGCTCTGCCTGCCGAGCGAGGCTCACTGGACGGAATGGAGCCAGGCCTGCTCAGCGGAGCCCGTCGATGAGACTTCTGCCCGGTGTACCGTGCGGCTTATGGCCGAACTTTCTGGACCTGGAGTCTTTAGTCGGGTGGGGGTATCCTGTTTATTATATAGCTGTTTGATTGGACAGAACCTCTATTTGAGCTAGTCTGTACTGGATAATGGATATGACCCCACGCCGTCCGGCCATGTGCCTGATCTGGCTCGTGTCAGGCGGCTCCGCCGCCGGCACCCCTCTGTTTTGGCCAGCGTCACGAGCATGGCTCGGCCGTACGAGAGCTGATCTCAGCGCTATGGCTGGCTTGGTTTGTTATCGTCCCACAAGGCCATCGCTCGTGAGAGTAAACATGAGATGTTTTTACGGCACCCGTCCGATTCTAGTGTAATTCGGTCGCGCCACTTCTCCTGCGCAGTTGGTATGACCTTGTGCTCGTACTGTCGTCTGAAGATGCTCCGGACGGCCCCCCGCTGAGTGATCGTCGACCCCCGCACCCAGCCAGCCCGCTGCGCTTTTCACTCCCGACTTTTCCCGCTGCTGCCGACACGCCGTCGTCGCGGCGGCCGGCTCGGCTCCGGCGGCGCTTTCGCTGCGCGCCTCCCCGGCAGCCGGCGCTGGGCCCGCCGGTGCCAGCGGGTCGGCCGCTGAGTGGCCGAGCCGATCGCGCGACTGGTGACGTGGTGGCCAGGCCCCGCCCCCCGCCGCCGGCCGGGCCCGTCGCGTCGTTTGGGCTGCGGCGCTCGCCGCCGGCGGTGCTCAGCCGAGGTGAGCGTTACCTGTATGTGGCTGCCGGCTACTAGCCGCCACACGGCAGGTGCAGGGCGGCCCAGCAGTATTTTGGTCGCACCCAATGTGACCTGCAGACCAATTCGGTTACCGTTGCCGGCCGCCGCGCTCCATAGGTCTCCCTGGACCCCGAGGGAGGGGCGGGGCGGGCAATGTAAACAGACGGGGGCGTCTCGCTGCGGCGCACTTCTGTGACCTTGTCCCTGTCCCCCCTCCCCCGTCCGTCGGGACGCCCTCCCGCGGACGTCCGGTGCTCGGTCTCCCTCTCCCTCCCCCCCCCCCCCCAGTCTGACGTCCGGTGTGGAGCGCGTGCCAGCACGGCCGAACCCGGGGCCTCACCCGCCGACACCGTGACATTTAACGTGGGGTGGCCGAGTCAGCTATCGATGCCAAATACCTCGACTGGCAATTAAATATACCACAAATAACCGTCTGATATTTGTTATTCTGTGCGGAAGGCTTATAGAATTGCCTTAGTTCGAGCCTCTATCTGCCTATTTCCCGGTTGACTCTCAGAGATACTTGCATAGAGATGGAATTCAATTTAGCTGTGAAATTCGATGCTCACCCTATTCTGGCTCGTCCATTGAAGCGGAACCAATCCTAGGGACGGCGCGTTGCACCACCGCGCTGTCACCGCGGCGCTGGGTGATAAAGTGGCCGCCGTTGGCACACGGTTCGGCGAAGTGTGTCATGTTTGGAGTCCTGGAAGCGGCCGTGCACGGCTCAGTGTGGCCGCGCCGCTGTTTATTGCTGGCCGGTGAGCGGGCGGCGCCCGGACCGGGTCGATGCTCCAGATCTGACCCGGCGGGGCGGGGCGGGCGGACCGTCCGTCTGACGGGACCACGTGGCGGCTCCGGGCACAGGTGTGGCCCTGGCCGGCCGGCTGTGGGGGGGGGGAGGGGCGGGGTCACGAGGTGTCGCACCACCCCGCGCCACCGGCTGAGTCAGCCCTCGGGGGTCGGAGGGGGCTATTGATCCCCTGTCCCGCCTTGTTAGTCACCCGACACCTGTGTGTGTGTAACCGGTCACCGCCCGCCGTCCCCCCACGCGCCGCGCTACGCTGCCTATCAGCCGTCGCTGATGACAGGCCGACTGAGACGCCGTCAGCCGGGACCCGGCGGACCGGCGGGGGCACCGGCCCGTCTGCCGGTGACGAGGCGTTACGTGGCCCCGCGCCGGGCACTGGGTTCGCTCTGACGTCGCCGTCAGAGAATTACGCCGCCCGAACTGCCACCGAGCCGGCCGGCCGACGTCGTGCCGCAGCACTGATGACTGATCCCAGGGGCGGGCGACTGGCGGCGGATCGGAATGGCGCATCGATCGGCCCTCTCAGTGTGATGTAAACTGGCTGGATGGTTTCCTCAGGCGGACAATGAACCGCAATCCATAGAGTCGCTGCCTTCTTTCTTTTTGTTGAAGTCATATGCGAGTGCAAGTGTGTATCATGGTTTAAAAAACCGCAATCCTTAGTCACACTGGTTTTCTTGCGCCCGTTTTTACGGTGTTGGCGGTTCGGGAGCCCACTGAAGTACGGAAGTGATTTCGGTGGGATTCGGCGGACGGGTTCGGCGGACCGTTCCGTCTCTTTGTATCACCGCCGACAGTTCCTGGCAGTGGCTGTCGGCTGTCGGATCCGGCCGCTTCCCTGTCCCTCCTGGCTTCCTGCTGCGTTTCGCCCAGGTAGTTGGGCAGACCCAGTCGGCCGTCTCTCCAAGTTCCAGCTAACGAGCCGCTGGTTCTGGGAAGAGCGCAGGTGCCCCGTCAGCAGGCCGGGGACAACGAGCCAACTTCCTGGCCGCCCCGGCGCGCCGGCTGGCTGTGCAGCCCCTGTGTGTACTGTGTAGGGTGTGTGGTGTGCCTCATGATATGTGTACCGTGTAGTGTGTTGTGTATGCGGGGTACGGGTGCCTATTGTCGCAGTTCCCGGTACGTGCCCTCAGCCGGCCGAGTTTGGCGCCTTGTTCCGGTGTCGGGCCGGTGTCGGTGTCGATTCTGGCTAGGTGGTAGCCGCGACTGTGTGTTCCCGTTCGCCGAAATTGCGCCGCCCGTACTGTCCCGTCACTTGGCCCGCCCGGCCGGCCGGCTGACTCACCATGTGACCGGTGACGTCACAGTGCACTGGTGCACGGCGCCGGTCACGTGACGGTCGGGCGGGTACGTCAGCGCGCCAGCTGACTGCGGGCGGTCGGCTAAAACGGCCGACCGCCGGGCGGCGAGCTCAGTCTTACCACCGACCCCATACCCACCGGACGTGCGAGAGAGCGAGAGCCACCGGCCGTGTGAGCGGTCCGCAGTGCCGAGCCGAGCCGAGCCCCGAGCCGCAGCTGACCGGGCCGCACCGCCCCTCCGTCTCTCTCCGCTCACAGACGACAGCGACAGCATGTGCAAGGGGGATCTCAGCTTCGACGAGGCGCGGCGCCAGGCGCAGATGAAGCGCAAGCGCCACCGCAAGAAGCTGACCGAGTCGACGCCGGCCAGTCGCTTCGCGGACATGTACCGGCTGACGGGAGAGATCCTGGGCGAGGGCGCGTGCGCCTCCGTCCAGACGGCGCGCAACATCAACACCGACGTCGAGGTAGCCGTCAAGATCATCGACAAGTACCCGGGCTACCCGCGCAGCCGCGTCTTCAAGGAGATCGACACGTTCCACCATTGCAAAAACCACCCCAACATCATCCAGCTCATCGAATACGTGGAGGAGGAGGAGAGATTCTACCTCGTTTTTGAAAAAGTACAAGGCGGTAAGTGTCTCTTTTTCTTAATTCTTTTGCATGTTTATTTTGTTTCGTGTGCTTTAAATTGGAAGCAAATGTGTTCATTTAAAGTAGAAAAAACTATCGAGCTTTACAAATCCTGATGATGTGATGTGCTCAGCCTATTGGACTATCAAACTGGCCATTGGAGTCAAACATTTGCTGTCTCTTTATTTGATGTCCATTGGACATGGGTATGTATGCCAGCGAGTGTTGACACAGTCCGATGTGGGCCGTGGTGCATGAAGGCACACGTCAGCCTCTGTGCGCTACCTTGGACGCTCTGTTTGTGTCCACTGGCCGGTTTGTAGTCGCCGTGTCGCGTCATCGCCGCGCTATCGCTCAAGTGTGAGCTGTCAGCTGTGTGGGACGCTCTAGAACGGCCGGGAGTCGGCGGGTCTTCCCCGGACTGCGGGTCGGACCGGGGATGTGCGGGCCGTCAGCCGGCCACCAGTTCCTCATGAGCCCACAGGGCCGCCGGGCCGGCGATAGTGCAGGGGTTTCCGTTGGCGTGTCGCCAGCTTTCACTGCAGTTTTACGCTGGCGAGGTCACTGCACCGTTCGCATGGCGCTGACGTGGAGCCGGGCAGAGTCCACCGGTCGGCACGCTGCAGCCGCTCCGTGATCCCGGGCACGGTTATATCAGCGGCCCGCCGCCGCGCCGCACTGCAGGCCTGTTGCCAGCCGCCCGGCCGGTCTCGTCCCCGGGAAGCGGCTCGTTTCGTCAGCCGGACGGCAGCAGCAGCGCCGCCGTCCACGCTCATAGTTTATACTACCGCTAAAGATAGACGGCAATTCAGGCCAGCCGCTATCAACGGAGAGGACGTTTGGAGCGGCGCACAGCTGTGAGACAGTCGCTGTTGGCCGCGCGCACAGCCGCTAATTCGCTACTATCGCGGCGGACAAAAAACGTCCGGCCTGCGCACACAGAGAGCTGCAGCCGAGACTGATGAAACCGCCCTGCTGTGCGTGCAATTTGGGCGTGCAGCGCGTGAGCGCCCCTGGCTCGGCCCGGCCCGCTGAATAGATGGGCTATCATTGCAGGCGGGTTGCCTTCCGGGTCTGGGGAACAATCCCGCCGCTCATCTGTCGGTGCAGCCGAGCCCTTCTGCGATAGCAGTTAGCCGTTCATAACGCTGCAGCGCTGATGAAACTGGTCTGCCCTGAGCTGCAGCCCTCTTTGTGCCCGCCAATCGATGGGCTGATGTAAGGGCGGGCCTGCGCGCGTCTGCCGGGTGCGGCGCCGCGGGGCTGGCAGCGGCGCCGACTCCGTGGGGCCGTCCCGTGTGTGATATAACGGCCCTGTTGTGGTTGGAGCCGACTCAAGGCTCACCGGCCGGGTGACGTAACCGGGCGGCGTTGGGGGCCAGCCGGCGGGCCCGTGTGTCTGACCCAGCGCTCCTCTGTCCACAGGTCAGCTTCTGGATCGTATCCGGGACCGCAAACACTTCTCAGAGAAGGAGGCGAGTGAAATAATCCGTGATCTCGCTTCTGGCCTGCAGTTTCTGCATGGAAAAGGTGAGCACTGTTCCAGAGCTGTATCCGAGGCGCGTCATCGGAATGTGGTCGATACACATCACACCAACTCAGTTGTATAGCAGTCCAGTCACTGTCATTGCTGGCCGGAGGTTAGGTATTTATGTCGCTCAGTTCCGATCCCGGCGACCCCTCTCGAACAAAGAGCCGACGACGCGGTGGCCAAGTGTGTCGTTGGCCGGCGGCCAGTGGGCCTCTGGCGTGACCCCTGACCCGCCTCTGACCCCACCGCTGACCTCGGCCCGTCCGCCCGGCAGGCATTGCGCATCGTGACCTGAAGCCGGAGAACATTCTCTGCGTCAACAAGGACACGATCACGCCGGTGAAGATATGTGATTTTGACCTCGGGTCGGGCATCCAGTTCATTCCGAACCAGCCCACGCCAATCACGACTCCGCAGCTGCACACACCGGTGAGTGAACCCGCCGACCCGCACCCCGCGTGGGCGCCCGTACCCGACCCTCTGCTCAATGGTGTACTTATACGCAACGCGTGCGTCTTCGCTCGGATAGTGCTTACATGATACAGCTGAGTGAGAACGGGGTGGTTTTGCTCGGCGAAGGCGGTGGTCAAATTGAGTCTAGTTTTCGTGATACCTAATGCGCTATTGCGACATGAGAGGGTATTTGGTGTACGAGTTATGCGGTGTGCATCAAACCGTGCAGTTTCATACATTCACGGTCATGGTTCCTTACGGAGATGTAAAAACTACCCTTGCGGTCAGCGTACGCCACTGGTGGAGGGGCAGGGAGAGGGGGAGGGGGACGCCCACGCGAACGACGCGTGACACGCCCCCTCCCCCCCCCCCCGCCGGCCGGTGAAAAGTAGGCCGGCTGTCCTGTGCACGCCTGGGAAGAATGCTTCCGAGAGGCCAAGTGCGCATTGTTGGGGGACGAGGGGCGCGGGGCCCGCCCTCGGCGGATGAAGTCGTCCCGGGCGGGAGGGGTGTATTTCGGTGAACGGTTGGCGTGCGCAGTTACCTGTGCTTTCTGACGTAAGTGGCCACTCTGGCCGCCGTGAGTCGGGAGATAACACGCCCGCCAGACAGCGCCTTCTCATAGTTGATGGGCACGCGGCTGACGGCGGCCGTCTCTGGCTTTCAATCAAGGTCGGCGTTCCCAGTACACAGCGTGATGTGCGGAGTTGGCGCGCGCGGCTCTATCGCAGCCAAACCTTTCTACGCCGCCGCGGCGCGGTGGCTCCGGGCCCGGTGCTTCCGCCCGCCCGCCCGCCCGCTCTGCTGACGTCAATGCCGGCCGGGTCACAGGGCGCCCGGAAGGTACGGTCGCCGGTTACGCAATTCTGCACCGCCACGCGCCCGCCGCCGATTGTTTTCGTCTCCGCGCGGCGCGTGGAGTTGTTTGGAAGCGGCAGCGGCTGCGTGGGATAAGTCTGGAGTGGCGGCACGTGTACCGGTGCGGGGTGTTTGTGTACGCCCCGGACGGAGGGCGGCGCGCAGTGGCCGGCCGCCGGGCGCGTGCCGCAGACTCGACTCCGTGCGCGTGGCGGCGCCCTTCAGAGGTCACGTCCAATCGATGCGCCTCTGGCAGCGAGCGCTCCGGACGCCGACTGGTCTGGCCTCGTCGGCTGCTGGGGAGGGGGGGGGGAGCACGCGCCGCCTCGGGCGAACAAAGACCCCACGCGCCGCAGCCGCCGGCGGGATGTTGTGATGCCGGCCGTTGCCTCTGGGCGTGGTGCGCCGGGAGGGGCGGGGCGGGTCTGACGCGTGGCCGTTCAGAGAATCGGCCGGCGGCGGAGAGTACGCGAGGCCGCCGTTGCATCAGCTCAGGGTCGCCGGAGAATAGTTAACCTAGGGACGAACGGCGCGGGAAGCGGGCCCGAGGCCGTCCCCTGGCACGCTGCCAGTCGGCCGCTCTGACGTCTCCTTCCCCCGTCTGGCTGTCTGCCGACGCGGTGTCTGCTGCTCCCGCCGTCCGTGCCAGCGTGTGACGTGGCGTCTCCTCTGTCGACAGGTCGGCAGCGCCGAGTTCATGGCGCCCGAGGTGGTGGAGGCGTTCTTCAGTGACGACGACGACTGCTCCGTGTACGACAAGCGGTGCGACCTGTGGTCGCTGGGCGTCATCATGTACATCCTGCTGTCGGGCTACCCGCCCTTCTACGGCAACTGCGGCATGAACTGCGGCTGGGAGCGCGGCGAGGCGTGCGTCCGCTGTCGCGACCTGCTCTTCTTCAGCATCCACGAGGGCGTGTTCGAGTTCCCCGAGCGCGAGTGGGGCCACATCTCGGAGGGCGCCAAGTACCTGATCCGCAGTCTGCTGGTGAAGGAGCCCCTGAAGCGGCTCTCTGCCGACGCCGTGCTGAACCACCCGTGGGTGCGGCACGGCGGCGACGGCGCCAGCCTGCTCACCACGCCGCACGTGATCCGCAGCAACCGCAGCGTCAAGGACCTGTCGCTGTACGCCCAGTCGGCGATGGCGCTGAACCGCGCGATGCTCCACCACCTGTCCATGGACGTGGGTCGGATGCACGACGAGACGAGCAGCAGCGAAACCGAGTCGGACACCGAGGGGCCCGTGCTCTTCGGCCTGTCGCCGCCGCTCGAGTCGAGCATGATGCAGCGCCGGCTGCACCACACGCAGAGCATGCGGCTCACGGCGATCGCCTCACCCAGCGGCTGAGGCGGCGGCGGCGGCGACGGGCCGGCGCGAGGGGCGCCGCCCAGTTTTACCTGGAGCCGCGGCCGGCGCCGGCCGACCGGCCCCGGCCGCGGCCGAGTGATGTCACCTGCAGGACTTTGGTTACGGTGGAGATATATCTATGTATGTGTACGTGTGTGTACATAGGGTGTGCGAGCGCGCCCGGCGGAGTCCGCCGCGGTGCGACCGTTCGCCCGTTGTCTCCAGCCACTTTGAACTGTACAAACGTGCCTTGTTGGTGGGTCCCTGTAGACGCGTCTCCAAGGTGTTCGGAAGCTCCTCTTGGGTATACTCTAATGCTACAGCACCCTGGGCGCGCGCCCGCGTCCACCGCCGGTCCGCGGCGGAGGCGGGCGCGCGCCGTTATTGTATAGCCCCGGTGTGAGGTCCGGACGCCGTCCAAGGACCGCGCCGTGTACAGACCACTGGCGAGCGGCGCGCTGCGGCCGTCCGCTCCGCTGTCCATCTGTCCGTCTGTATGTGTGAGTGTGTGTGGTGTCGGCACCATGCGCGCCGTCACCTCTTCCATAGGGGCGGCGGCGGCGGGCCGGCCGCGCCGCCGACCACCGGCGCCGCGCCGGGACGCCCACGGCTGTGATCCTGTGAGAAGGGCGTCCCACCGCCGCCGCCCCCGCCGCCGCCCGACACGCCCGCGCCGCGGCCATGTCACCGCCGCCAGCGCGCGTGCTCGAGCGAGCGAATCGGTAACGACTGCATGCTCTCCCAGCGCCGGCCGCCGACGGCCGGCGGAAAAAATACAAAAAGATTTATTTTGCTCAATGGGAGACGAACTAACTGTTGGTGGTAACGGTATGTATACGGTGTGCGTGTGTCTGCTGTTGTTTGGGGCCGGCCTGCGCGCGGCGGCGGACACTGCGTGGACGCTGCCGGCGCGGCCGGCCAGCCGTCAGCGCTATCGGCATGGCGCCGACCATCCGCGCGCCCCCGGCGACCTCCTCCGCCGCCGGACTTTCGTTGGTAAATTAATTTTGTATTTGTTTTTTGAAATCAGCGTCGGTGTTGGGCAGGCCCGCGACTCGCCGGAGTCTGCGCGGCCCGCCCCAACCAGGAGCACTAGTCACTCGTTTGTGTTGCCATCGGTCAAGAAGAAATTCTTCTGTGTCAGGGTTCATACTGAACTTTTTTTTGGTAATAAATAAATAAAAACGCAACATGGTGTTTACGGAGTGATGAAGGCCGGAGAAGGACTGGCGAGAAAGATGGACGGAGGGTGGGGTGGTACTGGGTACAGGCATTGGCTCGCATGGCTCTACCGCACACATCAACGTGAAAGGCTGGCCTAGTAGTTTGTTTTGTTGGGCTAGGTCCTTTCATTCCACTGACACCATTTCAAGCCCTTAGAAAGAGGATGAAGGGAGGCAGGTCACCCAGCCAATGAATCGGTCGCTCCGGAGGGCAGCTTCTGCTCGAACTAACCCCCTGACCGCGCCGGTCCTCAGGTGGGGTGACCGAATCGACAGAGAAATACTCTTATAAGGATGGCGATGGGCTGGCCCGGAGGGCAGAGAGTTGACGGAGAGGAAGTTATGGAGGAGACCGGATGTTAGATGACTGGATATAAAAGCTATAAAGGCTACATACTGTACACAGGCTGGCATGAAAGATATGAAGGCTGTCATAGGCTCTCTCATCATTCTATGGCCGTGGACGGTGTCTCGTTTACAATTCCCCCTACAAACGGTAGTGCGCAGTTTTCCACGGTGTCTACGCTTCTATAGTGGCGCGTGACTCACTCACGCGTGGCTGCTGGCTGCACATCTGTGGGGTACGCGACACCGGTGGTATCTACCGACCGTCCACCACCCTCCTTGACTGAACGGTGAACACTTGCCCCCTCGCGCTGCGGTGCGCAGTTCGCACCACGTGCTCTGCGCATGTCGCCGTCTCCAAACAGTTTTTTTATGTGCCGGGAGGGGGTACTGCGTAGTTGGTGTCTCTCTCATGTCACCGCACGCCGGCAGCTGTCTCGATACGGTGACCCGATTTGCTCTGACGCGCCTCCCCCCCCCCCCCCGGCTATCAGACCCCCCGTTTGATACACGCGTTGGGTGCGTGATGAACTTCAGAGCAGCAGTGGCATTCACTGGCCAACGGTGGATGTGGGTTGATCTCCGCCACTGCAACTGTCGTCTCCCGAGGAATATTATGTTCATCTTTGCTCATCTTGTCCCTGCCAATGCTGTGGATGGCGAAACTTTCTCGACAAGCATGGAAGTCGCATTCTGTTCTTAGTATTGGTCAATTATTATTTATCAATGGCCATCTTTGCACGGCAGATCGGCGCACGCCGCACTATACCTACTTTCAGCTAGCCCATCCCAACCCTTCCCAGCTCCGAGGCGGAGCAATGTAATGGACTGTTTCGCGGCACCTTGACCTTCAACCCTGACAGTCACGACGTTTGCGCATGGTTCTGGTCCTGGACTCCGCCGAGCCAAGGCCAAAACGATGCGCGCCAATGTGCGAACCGCTTCAGGTGCGAGCCGCGTGCAGCGTGCCTACGTGAGTGTGTTTCCCATCCTGTCATTTCGGCTCACCTGCAGCCGGCAGAGGCCCGAGCCCCTTACGTCTCCTGTAACTAATGTTAGCTGCAAGGTGTTTAGTTATCTGCATGCAACCTATCCTGTTATGCTGGACAGTGAGAACTCTGAGGCAAGCAAGGACTGCTTCATTTGTCAGCTAAGGGTGAATCGGCTAAGAAACGACTCGCGTTGGGTCCCTTCTTCTAGCAGCACTAGCTGCTAGTCGCTTCACTGAGGACTAATAATTTCTAATCAAAAGAGAGAATCAAATGTTCGCATTTCGATAAACATATAGGTATTTGCAATGTAGGTAGATACGCTCCCAAACCAATGTAATGCGCCTTGCAAAACGAACGCACGCACACCATATCTATATAATACGCTGTATAGCGGCGGTTCTAGATGCGATCAAAATGCACACAAACCGGTTGGCGAGCCTTTGACGTCAATGGGGCGGGCTCTGGCATTGGCCGGTCACCTCCAGCCGAGCGGCGGGTGAGGGTCGCGGACCGCCAACCAATGGCGTAAATCGTCGACCTGACCCGGCTCGGTGCGTCGTTTCTTCTTACTGCTGGGCGCCGCGCCTTGTGACGTCACGACTCTTTGCGGTTAGCGGGGAGTGGAGACCGATTTCAGAACTGTCATGTATTCAGGTCAATAGTGATGCGCAATATAATCTAATGGATGGGTTGGAGCGATTAGCTGTAATTTCACCAGAAAAATGTCGTTAAGACATTCAACTCTTAGCCCGTCGCTCGTGCGACCTGCAGGCGAAACGTCTCAGAACCTGAGTAGAGACTGAGACGGTCACGGGTATCTGCATATATCTACGGCGACTTCTCTTCAACCGCGGAAATTGGGCCCGACCTTCCCAATGATTATCGGTGGCAGCTCACACAGTCAGGGCTGACAGCTCTGCCGACCAAAGGCTTCCCAGATCATTCAAGGCACCAACCAGGCTTCGATAAAAACAGTGAGGAACTCCAGGACTGTCAATTTGCATCTGATCCCGTTACCCAATATGCCGTTCAGCGTGTCAAGCGCTAAAATTCGACAGGCCTGCGGAAGCTGGAATGCCAAACGGTGCCAGAATTAAGAACATTATAATAGCTTACGAATTTGTCAAAACCCTGGTCAAAAGCTGAAGTCATTTTGCGACTATGCCAAAGCCCAGAGGTGTGTTCGTAGACGCGGACGATGTCAGTGCACATAGAAGTTGGGCATGAATTACGAAGCGTTAATTATATGTAGGACTAATTTAGTACCTGATTTTTCATATCAAACGCCCTGCCCAGTGCGCCGTCCGTCGCCCTGGGGCAGCCGGGCGGTCTGTTTCTGTCGCTGACGACACGGGGGCTGGGGTAGCCCCGGGCAGTTGGCAGCCGTCACCGCCGACAGCTGCGCTCCGGGAACTGCTGGCAGCTGCGGCGTCGACGGAGAGCCTTCCGAGTGGCAGCAGCGTCCGGCCGGCCGCGCGGTCGTCCGTCTGTACGTCTGTCCGTTTGTTTGTCCTTCCATTCGTCTCTTCGTCTGTCCTTCCGTCCATCCGTCCGTCTGTCCATCCATCCGTCCGTCTGTCCATCCGTCCGTCCGTCCATCCGTCCGTCCGTCCGTCCGTCTGTCCATCCGTCCGTCCGTCCGGGACAGAGAGTCCCATGGTCGGGACAGTTGGGACCTTGGCGAACAGCCCCTGTCCCAAGTACGCACCAAGTACTAACGAAAGACAGAGGCGGCTAGATTTAAACAAAATCTAAATAACAAAATTAAAATTGCGGGTATCGTCGAGGACGACTCCTTATATCAGCTGATCGGTTGATCTGTTATCGTTTATCGTCTCTTATCATCAGCTGCTAAAAAGTCGTACTCAACTATCAATGCAATACCCCGACGTTGTAACTTTGTCATTTATATTGTGATTCAATTCAGGATTTGGGCAAGTTAAATATGCTGATTATGTAAGGACATATTTGTGTTATGAGGCTATCGGTGGAGCCAACAAATAATTTCATTTAGTTATTTGTTGGCTCCACCGATAACCTCATAACACAAATTAAATTTGCTGTTTGTCATCATATATGTTTTCTCACAGCAGTTAACTCTCTAAAATATTCGTCTGGCTGTCCGTCCGCATGTCTGACCGTCTGTTGATCCGCCTGTCCGTCCGTCTGTCCGACCGCCTGTCCGTCCGTCTGTCCGACCGCCTGTCCGTCCGTTTGTTTGCTCGCCCGTCCGTCCTTCCATCCGTCTGTCCGACCACCTGTCCGTCCGTTTGTTTGTCCGACCGCCTGTCTGTCCGCACGTCATCCGTCGGTTCGTCCGTCGGTTCGTCCGTGTGTTCGTCCGTGTGTTCGAACGCTTGTTCGTCCGTCCATCTAGTGATAGTGACAGGTCATAAATACACTTTATTTGTCAAGTAGGTATGGTCGATAAATGTACTTTGACACATCACATGCTCACCTTTCTTCGTAGGTGTGCCATGCAAATGTCAATTATCAGTGCCTCCCAGCGCTTCGACAGCAAAATCCGTTTTACTTATAGCATAGATAACATGAATCATGATTCATGTTATCTATGCTTATAGAAATAGACATCTTTATTTGCTCACCAATTCATTCCAAATTATCGGTGGGGCATCAATAGAGTGTGTGTGGACAATCCTTGCAATACTAAAACGACCTGCCCAAATGCCGTGTGTCTAGAGCGTCATTGGAACAACGAGTAAGCATAATTCCAAACGGAAATGCTTTAAATGATTTTCATATTCAAAAGGCAGTACAAATCTTATCATAGAGCCTCTGGAAGTTAGGTATTACATAACAGTCATTGTGCGAGGTGCAGACGCCAGTTGCCATGACACACATCTATAGCCCCGGGCTCGTGCTTCTGCTCGGCGTGATTAAGATCGCGCTGATCGCATCGGGCGCGGTGACACCGCAGCTAAGTGGCCTTCTAAAGAGAAATCTACCCTCGGTTCGGCCGTGTCTGTGAGCGTTTTCCGGTCAGGCTAGACATGAGGCATTATGCAAGCGCAAAAACCTGTTTTGCAGCCTGAGTCATGACTTTTTTTGGACAGCTCATTGAGCAATAAAATAATATCAAACGTAAATTAAAGCTCCTAATAAAACATAAGTGTAAAACTTCCATACACCTCACTTGTTAATTGCTAAATGTTAGGTAGGTATAAACGATACGTGAGAACCCTTTAAAACCTTTAATGTGACCTTCCCATCCCACATTAAATTAGTGTTGAGCTGAGATAGCCAAATTGGGATCCCTGGCTTCATGCACTTACCGGTTTGGGCACTCAAAACATCTAATCGAGAATTGCTATATTTCGGAGATATTTAATTTCAAACCTGCAGTTTTCATATTCTAAGGGGCTAATGCATTTGAATGCCCCCTTAGAATTTGTGACATCAGCGGAGATCTAACGATTTTTAAATCTTATACTAAAATCATCGTTAACACGTGGTGGTATACTGCTTTGCGCGCAACGTCTACCGCACTTGAAGGATGCCAAAGTATTGCTTCCAAATAATTTGCTAGGAACAGCGAAGATCCCAAAAAGTAAACAAAAGTAAAAGTATAATATCTTGAAAACCAGTGAATATTTTTCGGTGAAATTTGGT